TTTTCTTCCGGCGCTGGTTTCAATTTTTGGATGAACAGTAAGTATATATTGATGTGACCATCCAAAGAGTTTAACTATACAAGCAAAAAGGTGTGCAAAATTGGAGGTTATCCAAAGATTGGATAACCCATCACCTCCAAAAGAAAACCAGAGAGGCTGGTTAGCACTCTATGCAAAGCCGATCACAAAAACCAAGGTGATGGGCTAGTGAATGTCAAAAAACCACCAAGTCATGTGGATAGATGCTATACAAAATTTTATAGACAATATACTTGATTCGAGCGAATATATCTTCAACTTTAGGGGAAGTGCCATCAAACTTGATAGCATTCCTAGTTCTCCAAATGTGGTAAACCGAGAAGCAAAATGCAATCCTTGTTGCTTTAGCTTTTATGGTGGCTCCACTTCTCTCTTTCTTAATCCATTTGACTGAGTTTGAAAGTGTGCTCATAAGCCGCGGCAAAATGCGATCACTTCTCTCTTCAGGCGCTGGTTTCAAAATATCAAGGGATGATTGCCTAATTACTAAAATACACTGTATTTAAGCTAAAAGTGCGCTATTTTCGCTGAAAATGCTAAATCATAGAGATAAGGCTAAGTATTTGTGACACTCATATCTTGCTATGTGTTTATCCGTTTGGAACGTATTATATCTAGTTGGAAAGATAGATCGGACGCCCTAAAGCTATTGTTCCAACTTCATTGACATTGCATTAATTAAAAGTTACAGATTAACCATATATTCACAAATGTTTCTTATTTCACTCCGAACTCGTGTAGAATTTGATGCGATCATATCTTGCTCTATTTTGTGCCGTTGAAAGCGTTTAATATCTCGTTGGAAAGATCTTACCGAGTTCTAAAACTTGTCTTCAGGCGCTGGTTTCAAAATATCAAGGGATGATTGCCTAATTACTAAAATACACTTTATTTGCGCTAAAAGTGCTCTATTTTCGCTGAAAACGCTAAATCATAGAGATAAGCCTAAGTATTTGTGAAACTCATATCTTGTTGTGTGTTTATCCGTTTGGAGCGTAATATATCTCGTTGGAAAGATAGATCGGAGCTCTAAAGCTATTGTTCCAACTTTATTTACAATGCATTAATTAAAAGTTACAGATTAACCATATATTCACAAATGTTTCTGATTTCACTCCGAACTCGTGTAGAATTTGATGCGATCATATCTTGCTCTATTTTGTGCCGTTGAAAGCGTTTAATATCTCGTTGGAAAGATGTTAGCGAGTTGTAAAACTTGTCTTCAGGCGCTGGTTTCAAAATATCAAGGGATGATTTCCTAATTACTAAAATACACTGTATTTACGCTAAAAGTGCTCTATTTTCGCTGAAACGCTAAATCATAGAGATAAGGCTAAGTATTTGTGACAGTCATATCTTGCTGTGTGTTTATCCGTTTCGAGCGTATTATATCTCATTGGAAATATAGAACGGAGCTCTAAAGCTATTGTTCTAACTTCATTTACAATGCATTAATTAAAAGTTACAGATTAACCAGATATTCACAAATGTTTCTGATTTCACTCCGAACTCGTGTAGACTTTGATGCAATCTTATCTTGCTCTATTTTGTGGCACTGGTTTCAAAATATAAAGGGATGATTGCCTAATTACTAAATTGCACTGTATTTACGCTAAAAGTGCTCTATTTTCTCTGAAAACACTAAATCATAGAGATAAGCCTAAATATTTGTGACACTCAAATATTGCTGTGTGTTTATCCGTTTGGAGCGTATTATATCTCGTTGGAAAGATAGATCGGGGCTCTAAAGCTATTTTCCAACTTCATTTACAATGGATTAAATAAAAGTTACAGATTAACCATATATTCCCAAATGTTTCTGATTTCACTCCGAACTGGTGTAGAATATGATGCGATCATATCTTGCTCTATTTTGTGCCGTTGTAAGCGTTTATTATTTCGTTGGAGAGATGTTACCAAGTTCTAAAACTTGTCTTCAGGCGCTGGTTTCAAAATATCAAGGGATGATTGCCTAATTACTAAAATACACTGTATTTACGCTAAAAGTGCTCTATTTTCGCTGAAAACGCTAAATCATAGAGATAAGGCTAAGTATTTGTGACACTCATATCTTGCTGTGTGTTTACCCGTTTGGAGAGTATTATATCTCGTTGGAAAGATAGATCGGAGCTCTAAAGCTATTGTTCCAACTTCATTTACAATGCATTAATTAAAAGTTACAGATTAACGATATATTCACAAATGTTTCTGATTTTACTCCGAACTCGTGTAGAATTTGATGCGATCATATCTTGCTCTATTTTGTGCTGTTGAAAGCGTTTTATATATCGTTGGAAACATCTTTCCGAGTTCTAAAACTTGTCTTCAGGCGCTGGTTTCAAAATATCAAGGGATGATTTCCAAATTACTAAAATACACTGTATTTACGCTAAAAGTGCTCTATTTACGCTGAAAACGCTAAATCATAGAGATAAGGCTAAGTATTTGTGACACTCATATCTTGCTTTGTGTTTATCCGTTTGGAGCGTATTATATCTCGTGGGAAAGATATATCGGAGCTCTAAAGCTATTGTTCCAACTTCATTTACAATGCATTAATTAAAAGTTACAGATTAACCATATATTCACAAATGTTTCTGATTTCACTCCGAACTCGTGTAGAATTCAATGCGATCATATCTTGCTCTATTTTGTGCCGTTGAAAGTATTGAATATCTCGTTGGAACGATCTTACCTAGTTCTAAAACTTGTCTTCTGGCGTTGGTTTCAAAATATCAAGGGATGATTGCTTAATTACTAAAGATATATAGGAGCTCTAAAGCTATTGTTCCAACTTCATTTACAATGCATTAATTAAAAGTTACAGATTAACCATATATTCACAAATGTTTCTGATTTCACTCCGAACTCGTGTAGAATTTGATGCGATCATATCTTGCTCTATTTTGTGCCGTTGAAAGCGTTTAATATCTCGTTTGAATGATCTTACCGATTTCTAAAACTTGTCGTCAGGTGCTGGTTTCAAAATATCAAGGGATGATTTCCTAATTACTAAAATACACTGTATTTACGCTAAAAGTGCTCTATTTTTGCTGAAAACGCTAAATCCTAGAGACAAGGCTAAGTATTTGTGACACTCATATCCTGCTATGTGTTTATCCGTTTGGAGCGTATTATATATCGTTGGAAAGATTGATCGGATCTTTAAAGCTATTGTTCCAAATTCATTTAAAATGCATTAATTAAAAGCTACAGATAACGATATATTCACAAATGTTTCTGATTTCACTCCGAACTCGTGTAGAATTTGATGCGTTAATATCTTGCCCTATTTTGGGCCGTTGAAAGCGTTTAATATCACGTTGGAAATATCATACCGAGTTCAAAAACTTGTCTTCAGGCGCTGGTTTCAAAATATCAATGGATGATTGCCTAATTACTAAAATACACTGTATTTACGCTAAAAGTGCTCTATTTTCGCTGAAAACGCTAATTAATAGAGATGAGGCTAAGTATTTGTAACACTCATATCTTGCTGTGTGTTTATCCATTTGGAGCGTATCATATCTAGTTAGAATGATAGATCGGAGCTCTAAAGCTATTGTTCCAACTTCATTTACAATGCATTAATTAAAAGTTACAGATTAACCATATATTCACAAATGTTTCTGATTTCACTCCGAACTCGTGTAGAATTTGATGTGATCATATCTTTCTCTATTTTGTGCTGTTGAAAGCGTTTAATATCTCGTTAGAAAGATCTTAGCGAGTTCTAAAACTTGTATTCAGTCGCCGGTTTCAAAATATGAAGGGATGATTGCCTAATTACTAAAATACACTTTATTTACGCTAAAAGTGCTCTATTTTCGCTGAAAATGCTAAATGATAAAGATAAGGCTAAGTATTTGTGACACTCATATCTTGTTATGTGTTTATACGTTTGGAGCGTAATATATCTCGTTGGAAAGATAGATCGGAGCTCTAAAACTATTGTTCCAACTTCATTTACAATGCATTAATTAAAATTTATAGATTAACCATATATTCACAAATGTTTCTGATTTTACTCTGAACTCGTGTAGAATTTGATGCGGTCATATCTTACTCTATTTTGTGCCGTTGAAAGCGTTTAATATCTCGTTGGGAAGATCTTACTGAGTTCTAAAACTTGTCGTCAGGCGCTGGTTTCAAAATATCAAGGGATAATTGCCTAATTATTATTATTATTATTATTATTATTATTATTCATATTATTATTTTTACTAATATTATTATTATTACTATTATTATTATTACTGTTATTATTATTTCTATTATTATTATTACTATTATTATTATTATTATTATTATTATTATCATCATCATCATTATTATTATTATTATTAGGGGTATTATTATTGTTATTTTATTATTATTATTATTATTATTATTATTTTATTATTATTATTATTATTATTATTATTACAAATGTTTCTGATTTCACTCCGAACTCGTGTAGAATTTGATGCGATCATATCTTACTCTATTTTGTGCCGTTCAAAGCGTTTAATATCTCGTTGGAAATATCATACCGAGTTCTAAAACTTGTCTTCAGGCGTTGGTTTCAAAATATCAATGGATCATTGCCTAATTACTAAAATACACTGTATTTACGCTAAACGTGCTCTACTTTCACTGAAAACACTAAATCATGGAGATAAGGCTAAGTATTTGTGACACTCATATCTTGCTGTGTGTTTATCCATTTGGAGCGTATTATATCTCGTTGGAAAGATAGATCGGGGATCGAAAGCTATTGTTCCAACTTCATTTACAATGCATTAATTAAAAGTTACAGATTAACCATATATTCACAAATGTTTTTGATTTCACTCTGAACTCATGTAGAATTTGATGATATCATATCTTGCTCTATTTTGTGCCGTTGAAAGAGTTTAATATCTCGTTGGAAAGATCTTACCGAGTTCTAAAACTTGTCTTCAGGCGCTGGTTTCAATTTTTTTTGGATAAAGGGTAATTATATATATCATCCAAAAGAGTTTCTGTACAAGTGAGGCAAAAAAGTGGGGGACAAAAATGGGGCTATCCCAACATGGGATATACCATAGACCTGTGGGCTATACAATTAGTCCCAAATCACACAAAAAAAGGCATGTAGCCGCACCCTATAAAATTTCAAAACGTAATAAGCTCATGAGGATAAATACTATAGAGGATCTTATACCCATGTATTGGATCCTGGCAAAAACTTCTTCCTCTTGGGTCTTCTTATCATCAATTCTGGTGGCATTCCGAACTCTCCATAACCAGTATATAGTATAGATGAATGCAATTCTGACTTCCTTGGCCTTGATCCCCGCACCTGCATGCTCCTTCCTAATCCACTTAACTGAGCTTTCCAGAGTAGACATTTGTCTAGGTATTCCAATCCATGCTCTTACTTTGCTCCAAACTGTGCCTGTAAATTGACAACCAAAGAAAAGGTGTGGCACCGTCTCCGGTTCACCCTTGCAAAATGGGCAAATGTTAATCACATCAAGCCTACTAAGATTATCATACGTTGCAAGGCGGTTGTGGAAGGCAAGCCATGCAATGAATGAGAACTTAGGAGGTATGTAAGCTTTCCAAATAAAGGGCATCCACACCTGTTTAGTGCCCTTAACTCTAATCAAGTCATACACATTTGAAGAGCACAGTTTCCCATTTGTAACCATCTTAGAGAGGGCTGCTATTGTGGTCTCAATGGAGTCATATTTTGAGACAAGGATGTCTCGGATCAGCCGTAGCTTCTTAGTAAGCTGGGAGTCCCTAGTGTGTGGGGAAAATTCCCACACACATCTACCTTTAAGATAGACTCCATGCACCCATTTCTCCCAAAGTGTGTCTCGTTTAAGGTGAATATCCCAAAGGGTCTTAGAGAGTAAAGCATTATTCCAAGTTTTAGTATGTCTTATACCCAAGCTCCCCTCCTCCTTTGGGAGACACATATCTGCCCAAGCAACTCTGGCAAATATGCATCCCCAAAAGAAAATACGACAAATTGAGACCACTCTATCAAGGATGGCTTGGGGTATAGGAAACACCTGTAACCAAAAAGAATGTACTCCCTGAATAACAGATTTAATCAATTCAGTTCTACCAGCATATGACAATGTCTTGGTGTTCCATGAGCTGAGATAATCAGAGATCTTTTCCAAAAGGGGGGCATATTCAGCTATAGCTAGTTTAAGGGGGGAGAGGGGAATGCCGAGGTACTTGACAGGGAAGGCTCCAACTTTGAAGTCCACCAAGTCAAGTATGGCCGTAAGGTCATGGTCTCTAACACCTCCCAAGAAAATATTAGATTTGTCAAAGTTAACTCTTAACCCTGATACCTCCCCAAACTCATTCAATGCATCAATCAAAACTTTAACAGAATATGTATCACCTCTACAAAACAACATAAGGTCATCAGCATAGGCAAGATGTGAAATCTTTAAGCTACCACACTTGGGATGAAAGTTAAAATCAGATGTAGTTCTCAAGTTTAACAACCTTGACAAATATTCCAAACATAAAACAAATAGGAGTGGGGACATAAGATCACCTTGTCTTAATCCCCTCTTCCCTCTAAAAAAACCATGTAATGTTCCATTGATGGAGATAGAAAAGGAAGCGGTAGAGACACATTCCATAATCCATTTAACAAATTGTAAAGGAAAACCAATGTTAAGGAGTACACTATAAAGAAAGTCCCAAGAAATGGTGTCATAGGCTTTCCTGAGGTCCACCTTAATCATACACCTGGGGGAGCAATGCTTCCTAGTGTACCCCTTTACCAATTCCTGTGCAAGGAAAATGTTATCCATCATAAGCCTCCCATCTACAAAAGCCCCCTGGGCATGGTCAATTAGCCCCGGTAAACATGGAATCATTCTATTAGCAATGACTTTAGTAATGACCTTATAAAGAACATTTGTACATGCAATTGGTCTAAAATCAGCAGGTGTGGGGGAGTGTGAGGTTTTAGGGATTAAAGCAATAATCGTGTGATTAATTTGCTTTAATAACCTGCCAGACTCAAAGAAGCCCCTCACGGCGTCAACCACATCTTCCCCAACAATTGACCAATTTTCTTTAAAAAGGCAGAGGTAAAACCATCCGGCCCCGGGGCCTTGTCATCCCCAATATCAAACATAGCATTTTTAATCTCAATGTCTAAAACGGGGGAAATCAGCCCTAAAGCTTGGTCCGTACCTAGACATGTCCCGGATGTAATTATGCTAGGCTCAATTGGAGGACAACTTACCGGGGTTCCAAACAAATTGACATAAAAATTCTCAAATTCCTTAGCAACTTGATCCATAGAGGTAGTTAGTTCCCCATTGGCTAGATTTAAAGTCGTAATGGAGTTCTTGGCAGCCCTCTTCTTCACAATAGAGTGGAAGTATTTGGTACATCTATCCCCTTGGATCAAATGAATACCCTTTGCTTTTTGCCTATAAAAAGCATCCTCAGCCATTTTAAGAAAAAGCACTCTCTTCTTAGCTACTTGGACATCATTCTTTAAGGTATCATCCAAAGGGGAAAGTAAGAGAAGACTATGTAATCTGTTAAATTCTTTCTTTGAGTCCTTTACCTTAGAAGAAATATGAGCAAAAGTATTCTTGTTAAGTTCCTTGAGTGGTTTCTTAAGAGCTTGGAGTTTCGAAACTAACCGAAATTGAGCATTGCCCATTACATACATAAACCAATTCTCATGAAGTATAGAGGGAAAAGACTCATGTTTAAGCCACATGTTGAAAAATTTGAAGGGTTTTGACCCCAAGGGGGGGTTATGGCCGAAAGTAACCAATGGTGCAACATGGTCACATTCCACCTCCATATCATGAAAATGTGTTTTGCAAGTGATACCATTAGTATTCCAAAAAGAATTCATTAAAACTCTATCCAACTTAGCCCAAAGTGAACCCCTATTCCAAGTGAAGAATTCACCGGTGGAAGGAGTGTCAATAAGGTTTGCATTAAGCTTGAAGTCAACTAAGTCTTGTAAGTAATAAGCCGAGGGTGGTGTGGGGCCAATCCTTTCACTAGGGGAAGAAACACCATTGAAATCCCCCATAACTAGCCAAGGACTACTTATGGTAGATCCCAAATTGGTAACGTGATCCCAAAGGGTTCTCCTCACCCCCACCGAGTACAAGGCATAAACAAAAGTAACCATAAAATTCAATTGTGTAGTCTTACACACACATTTGCAATGAATATGTTGTTTGTCAATTTCAAGCACATCTATTTCAACATAGTTCGTATTCCACATAAGGGCCATGCGGCCACCATCTATAGTATCAAAATTTGTAATAGAAGACCATAGTGGCCATCTATTTTCCTTAAGTTTTTCAAAATTAGAAGTAGACATTTTAGTTTCAAGCAAACAACACATATGTACATTATGAGCACGAATAAAATTAAAGATAAGAGATTGTTTTGAGACCTTATTAAGGTTTCTTATGTTCCATGCCGTAATGATCATTAAACAATTGAGTTGGTTCCCCCATCATCCTTGATCCTCTTTTTCCTTCCTTGCCATGGCCTTTTCTTCCATGTGTTGCCTTGAAGGCCATTTTCGCTAAAATACCTACCAAGAAAAAGATGATGAATATTACGCATAAAGAAAGCATCAAAAGCATACCCGTCCTCTATTTGGATCACCCCAGGCAGCCCCTCTAGGCAAGCTTTAGTGAATGTAATCCCAGGTGCATCCAAGTCATCGGTGATTGAGAACCAATTATCAAGTCTCACAAGCTTTCCCCCCGGCTTCATGGTTAGTTCTAGCTCATTCATGTGGGCCATGTGAAGATTGGGAGGTTTCCCTTCAATGAAATCTACTTGAATGACCACATCATCATGGTAGCTATCTCGGATATCATTGATAATTCTTACTTCCAAATCAACATCCTCCTTCTCTTCCTTTGATGTCCCTTGCTCCTCTTCTTTGTTAGCCATGATTTTGTCAAGCTCATCCACTAGTTCTTCTTCTTTTTGTTCTTCCGTTTCAATGTTAGGTGTAGCCAAGATCAAGGCAAGGGGGTTTTCTTCTAAGATTGTGGCTTCCTCTTCAATGATCTCCCCCTCTTCTCTTTCCAAACATTCTGCCACGGGCTGGTCATGGCTGCTCTTGGTGGTCTCGGCCTTTGGATGCTCCTCATGATAGCATCTATTCTTAGCTTTGATAGTATAGATTTGCCTTCTTTGTTCTTCTATTTGAAATGTAGTGTTTTTCCTTGGTTCTTGGGGGGGTACTTCTTCTCCTCTTTCTTTCCTTTCCAAGTCATGGAGTGTTTTACATGTGAAGGGGTGATGGCCGAACATCTTGCAATGATAACAATAGTTTGGAAAGGTCTCATACACTACGCCTTGGCTATAGATCTCCCCGGATGGAAGTTTGACATCAAATTGGAGTGGAGGGGGCTTGGCCGCATCTACTTCAATTAGAACACGAGCATATGAAGATCTAGCTTTCTCTTGTGTCACCCTATCCGTAGCCAATGGTTTACCCACTCTAGAAGCCACGGCACTTAGGATATCCTCTATCCAAGCCCTCATGGGCAGCCCATGAAATTTGACCCATATAGGCACTTTGAGGAATTCATCACTATGTGTTGAGAAGTTATCATCAAGGACTTTCAAGTAGCACATTTTCCCATAGATGGAATGAGGTCCATCTAGAAGGACTTGATCCCTATCCGCCTCCCTTTGGAACTTGAAGATAATCCATCCTTTCCTATGCGGTCTAGCTTTGCAAGGAACCCCCCATTTTTGGATCATAGCGTTGACTGCCCTAGGTCCGGGAAACACCCCTACAAAGTAGTCAACCAAACAGTACCCCCATAGCTCCACCATGGAGTGAAGTGTGTAGTTAGAAAGGTCAACCATATCTCCGGTAGGTGGGATGTAAGTAAGTTTCATTCCTTGGGATGATTCCCTATTATTAGTAAATAAGGAGGACCATGGTTTAGGGGCAGCTTGGACAGTTTGTTTGGTGCCTTGAGAGGTAGAAGCATCTCCATTAGTACTCAATTTCTTGGTCCTATTTATGGCCTTAAGATAGACATCATCTTCACATGGTTCCTTTTCAACCTCAACGTTTTTTTCTTTTTCAATTGCCCTATCTTGCTCCAAATCCGAGGGTGTGGTCTCATTAATGGGTGTAGGAGTAACCACATTAATGGGGCTAACAACCCCCAAAGGTTGGTCATCAAAACCCCCCTCCAAAACAGCCTCCAAAACAGCCTCCACACTAGCATTTGTAGTCTTCACTATCTCGGCCAAACAGCCCTCATTTTGCACAATTTCTTCATTAATGGATTGGTGAGGGACCTCTTTAATGTTTCCAACAGCCAAAATACCTATTTCATTCTGTAATACAGACCCCCCACCAACTTTTTCCAACGCTAATACATCATCATTTTCGCACACAATATTGGTGTCCAAAGAAGTTACCTTTATGTTGTTGTTTGTGTTGTCATTTGCCACATCTTGGGTAGGTGGTTGCTTAGTGTTGCTGGCCCCCTTGTTTTTGGTATTTTCTGACCTCAACTCACTGGTAACCTCCTCGTCTCCTTCGGTAGAGGATATCTTCTTCTCCATTTCATCCAACATCTTAGCTTCCATGTGTTGAGCTTGGAGTTTCTTAACTGACTTCAATTTGTTTTTCCCGGTCATAGGAGCGATGGGAGACACTGCCTTGGCAAGCTTCCGAGTGTTGACCATAGCTAGGAGGTGTGTCCCAAGCTATCCAAGGTCAAGGTGAGCATCCAAGGACGTTGTAAGCACAAAACGCCTCCAAGAGTCCTTCAAAGACCAAGTTTGTTTTCTTCTTTTCTTCTTTGAGCTTGTTGTCCGTACTAATGGAGTAAATGTCCGTACAAACGGTCACAAAGTTGATTGTACGGATAGGGGGGATGAAGCTAAGATTAGAGTATGTGGTGCGCCAAGGAGAGGCGATTCTCACCCCATATCCAGAATCATCTTAGCTCAAAAGGAGGCTTTGGGATCTAAGAAAGAGTTTTTCGTGTATGAATAGTGTTTGTGCGAAAAATGTTGCTCCAGCCCTCCAAAGACTTCAGGTTTTGAGCTAAAAAATTAAAGATAATACACCCCTAAGGAAAGGAAGATGTATTACAGTTAATGTTCGAGCTCAAACACCCAAAAATCCAAGGAAGAAAACAAGAACGAACAAAAAACGCAATGGAGAAGAAGAAGTGTACGGATTTCGTAGAGAGAAGCTGGAGCTAACGGAAAAAATTCAATCTTTCTTAGGCCAGGCGCTGGTTTCTCAGGCGCTGGTTTCAAAATATCAAGGGAGGATTGCCTAATTACTAAAATACAGTTTATTTACGCTAAAAGTGCTCTATTTTCGCTGAAAACACTAAATCATAGAGATAAGGCTAAGTATTTGTGACACTCATATCTTGTTGTGTGTTTATCCGTTTGGAGCGTAATATATCTCGTTGGAAAGATAGATCGGAGCTCTAAAACTATTGTTCCAACTTCATTTACAATGCATTAATTTAAAGTTACAGATTAACGATATATTCACAAATGTTTCTGATTTCACTCCGAACTCGTGTAGAATTTGATGCGATCATATCTAGCTCTATTTTGTGCCGTTGAAAGCGTTTAATATCTCGTTGGAAAGATCTTACCGAGTTCTAAAACTTGTCTTCAGGCGCTGGTTTCAAAATATCAAGGGATGATTGCCTAGTTTCAAAAATACACAGTATTTCCGCTAAAAGTTCTCTATTTTCGCTGAAAACGCTAAATCTTAGAGATAAGGCTAAGTATTTGTGACACTCATATCTTCCTGTGTGTTTATCCATTTGGAGCATATTATATCTCGTTGGAAAGATAAACCGGGGCTCGAAAGCTATTGTTCCAACTTCATTTACAATGCATTAATTAAAAGTTACAGATTACCCATATATTCAAAAATGTTTCTGATTTCACTCTGAACTCGTGTAGAAATTGATGCGATCATATCTTGCTCTATTTTGTGCCGTTGAAAGCGTTTAATATCTCGTTGGAAAGATCTTAATGAGTTACAAAACTTGTCTTTAGGCGCTGGTTTCAAAATATCAAGGGATGACTGCCTAATTACTAAAATACACTGTATTAATTAAAAGTTACAGATTAACCATATATTCACAAATGTTTTTGATTTCACTGTGAACTCGTGTAGAATTTGATGCGATCATATCTTGCTCTATTTTGTGCCGTTGAAAGCGTTTAATATCTCGTTGGAAAGATCTTACCGAGTTCTAAAACATGTCTTCAGGCGCTGGTTTCAAAATATCAAGGGATGATTGCATAATTACTAAAATACACTTTATTTACGCTAAAAGTGCTCTATTTTCGCTGAAAACGCTAAATCATAGAGATAAGCCTAAGAATTTGTGACACTCATATCTTGTTGTGTGTTTATCCGTTTGGAGCGTAATATATCTCGTTGGAAAGATAGATCGGAGCTCTAAAACTATTGTTCCAACTTCATTTACAATGCATTAATTAAAAGTTACAGAATAACGATATATTCACAAATGTTTCTGATTTCACTCCGAACTCGTGTAGAATTTGATGCGATCATATCTAGCTCTATTTTGTGCCGTTCAAAGCGTTTAATATCTCGTTGGAAATATCATACCGAGTTCTAAAACTTGTCTTCAGGCGCTGGTTTCAAAATATCAAGGGATGATTGCCTAATTACTAAAATACACTGTATTTACGCTTAAAGTGCTCTATTTTCGCTGAAAACGCTAAATCTTAGAGATAAGGCTAAGTATTTGTGACACTCATATCTTTCTGTGTGTTTCTCCATTTGGAGCGTATTATATCTCGTTGGAAAGATAGACCGGGGCTCGAAAGCTATTGTTCCAACTTCATTTACAATGCATTAATTAAAAGTTACAGATTAACCATATTTTCACAAATGTTTCGGATTTCACTCTGAACTCTTGTAGAATTTGATGCGATCATATCTTTGTGACACTTCAAAATTTTATAAGTAAAAATAATAATAATATGTAATAAAAATGAAGAGATATAATTTATTTGGTACAAATATAAGGCAGATATATTCTATCTGATAAAATGGCATAAACTATTTGATAAAGATAAAATTTTAAAATGGTAAAATAAGGTATGTACATGCATACACATGCATGTAACGTTTAAGCATAATAGTAATAATGATAATAAAGTAGAACATTGTTACGGAAAGGAACTTTAGCATACATGATATACTACATACATATACATCATATACATGCATACATGCGTAATAATTATAACGGCGGTAGTACTACGCCGTTATTAATATATAATGGCGTTTATATAATACATACATGCATAAAATATAACGGTGGTAGTACTACGCATCTCATGCTCACTTAATTACTCCGCACTTAATAATTAAAAGCATCAATAATGAATAACAATGAAACGATCGGTCAGTTCTGGAAGTAGCTCAACGGACATAACAGCTACGGCCTTCGGAGTACAGCAAACATTAAAAAAACAGAGAAACGTAACAGCCAACGTCGAGAAGCTTCCTGGTTCCTGTATATATATCACGATGGACAGAAATCTGGTACACAAAACCTGCATTTCGTCCCATTCAAAAAGCAGCAGCGGCACTTATATATATATTTAGATACACACACACCCACCAGATTTTCGACCCAGTTTTATACTGTAAACCAAGCCTGTAAATCGCTTCTGAAACCTTCCCCTTCGTGAGAGGAATCCAACGGTGAAGGAATCATTGAAAACGATCGTGAAACGAGAGAGATATCGCTTGTCGGAGTTTCGCCGTACTAACTGTAGCGACGGAAAACGGAGAAGAAGGAGGAACCGCCGCTGCCGCCAACCAACCACTGAGCTTCGCCATCCCAGAGAGAGTGCACCGCCGCCACTATTTCACGCTTCCGTCGAGGTAAGCTTCCCACGTGTTTACCTGCGTTTCTGCGACATACCAACGAAGAAGATGACTTAGTTCATCTTCTTCACTCACGGCTGAATTTTAGTGCATGGGCTGGATTCTTTGAACTGGGCCGGATAATAATAATAATAATAATAATAATAATAATAATAATAATAATAATAATAATAATAATAATAATCTGCAAAATTGATAAATTTGAGATCAGAAATATTAATGGTGAATTTGGCTTGATTAATTATTGGTAATCACTTGGATAATTTTATTATTTGTTATTTAACATAATTAAATAAGGTAGAATGATAAAACGAATTGATGGTTTAATTAATAAACTATTAACAAAATTATTTATTTGGACTTAGTACCATAATTAGATTAAATAAATTGGATAGATATTATTTTCACTAATTATTGGATTAATTGAAGCAGAGTAATAAAATTAACATAATTTCGGATTCGGAAATATTAAGTGTTTGAGTAATCAATAAAATCAGAATACGTTATAAGCGATTAGTTAAATAGTTGTTATAATATTCAGATTTACTAATGCTAATAATGTTGATTAATATAATTGATTAAATCAAATAGCTAGAATAATCAATTACTTAAATTAATAAATTCGAATAAGAAAATAAAAAGGGAAAATTGGATAAACTATTGAATAAGTGACTAATTATATCATCTTAATTAAAAAGGTGATTATCTAGAGACCGAGATAGAGGAAGATAAATAGAAGCATTTGGATTTAAGGTAAGTTTCACGTCAACCGATATTAGTTCTTTTCCTTCGTGATTTCTTTGAATATTTTTGTGTGCATATTTGAGAATTGAATTTATGTGTGCTGAATTTTATTAAATATCAATATATGAAAAGGTTGTATTTGAGATATTAGTTGATACATTGGTTTGTTAATATACGATTTAAGGAGATTTTGTAATATTACGTAGTTTGTTATCTTTGTGGGAGTTTGATGAAAAAGAAAATTTTGAAGTATAAACTTCGATTGATTTTGAGAAAACAAAGAGAAATAAATATTTTCATAAAGGGTGAGCATCACGAGAGAAATCCGTGGTGTTGGTTTTCCACGTCCCTTAAAATGTGGAGGATGGTTAGGTCTACTACTACTCAATTTTTGGTTTGTGTTGGTTTGAGTTGAATTGTCGGTCGGTAGAAAACATCCCGACTTTTGAGTAGTAGTGGTAGTAGTAGCTTCTAATCATTCAGGTTTTGAGGTGGGGTAGTTGGTAGAAAACATCCCGGCTATCCGGATCGACTTACTAACCCGGAGGGCTTGGAATACCTTTAGGGGGTGTGCACACTTAAAGTAGTTGTTTCCGTTTCCAAGAAGCAGTTGTGGTACCGGCGATAGTTCCGGGGTGGCCGTACATAACAACGGACCACCGGGCTCAACCAAAGTGTTGAGCACCGCCCTTCTAAATTACTAGGAAGTTAGATACAAAGTGATTTTGGGGGAAATTCAAAAAGAGGAGAATTTTGGTGTTTCATGTATTTTGGAATTATTATGGTTTACGAGCTAATTATGTGATTGGGAGTTTATATAGATATCGTTTACTTATGATTTATGGTTTATAAAGTGTTGAAAAATATTTTATGAGGTTGTACGAATTTTATATATATTATTTATTATTATTTTAAAAGGTTAGGTGGAACTTACCTAGCATTATTGCTAATGTTTGTTTTTTTTTCTTCTTGTGTTCGTATTTAACAGGAGGTGATCATGTTGATTTTGATGCTGCAATGTTTGAGAGCGTGAATTAGAAGACCGCTATGTAGTTCATTAGAAATAAACTTTAATATTTGCCTATGATTCGAACATCTTGATTTTTATTAAACTCATGTTTTGGTAGATACCCTTAGCATCCAATCATTCACGGATTGGATGTGGCGGTGACATGCCCTTTTTCCTTAGTTTTTATTAATTTCCACTGCAAACTTTTGAAGGTTTAATTATTAAATAAAAGTTCATCTCTATTTCAAAGAATTATTTTGGATGGAAAATTTGGGGGTGTCACAAGTTGGTATCAGAGCCCTTTGGTTTTCGGAAGAGACTAGAACACGAGGTAATAGGTCGTAGGGAGGGGTTCTGTCACAAAGACGATAACAGTCTAAGCTGGTTGGTGCATAATTGAGCCTTTGCGCTCGTCCAACTAACTGGGAATTCCTCCTTGTGCTGAAACTTCGTTGTTCGAAATCTTTGACGAAAACCGAGGAAATTATACCTTCAAATGGAGATCCTTTCAAAATATTTTTATCAAATTTAGGAAATGGAAATTATTAAATAAAGGCCTTTCTAGGGAC